CCGGCGCCATCGCGGCGGTGCCGGCGGAGCTGCCCGATGGCCGCGGCGGAGCCGGGGGCGCGCAAGCGGCGGCCCAAGGGGCACTTCGCGGCAGCGGGCCGGGCCAAGCGGCCCCGCGGCGGCGGCGGGCGGCAGCTGGAGGCCGGCATGCGCGGCATCCTCATCACCTGCAACATGAACGAGCGCAAGTGCGTGGGGGAGGCCTACAGCCTGCTCGGCGAGTACGGGGACCTGCTCTACGGGCCCGAGCAGGTGCGTGCGGCGGGGCCGGCCGGGCGCCCGGGGCTGGCGGGGCAGCGCGGACCCGGCGGGGAGCGGCGCCCCAAGGCCTCTTGTCCTCTCCCTTTCTGTGTGTGAAGCAGCCCGGCTGTGCTCACCACACCCCCCCAGGGCCGCTTTCTGTCCGCCACCCCCTGTGCTGGCTGCGGGAACGGCCCGTGCCCGGCACCCCCTGGCCCCTGGTGATCTGCGGGCGCTGTGGCTCGGTACTCACCGACAGACTGTGTGAAGTTTTCAGATCACGAGGAGAGGCTGTCTGGAAGCGACAGGGAGGAGGATGAGGACGACGTTGAGGCGGCCCTGAAGAAGGAGGTTGGCCAGATCCGTGCCTCGACGGAGCAGAAGCTGCGGCGGTTCCAGTCGGTGGAGAGCGGTGCCAACAACGTGGTCTTCATCAGAACCCAGGGCATAGGTGGGACATCAGCTGATGCTGAGTAATGCAAACTGCTCTGAACACCCGTAGTGATAGGCCACAGAGCCTGGCTTCCAAGAAACACGTGTGTATCAAAAAAATAGTGTTTCCCCTTCCCTTTGGCTGTGCCACTGAGTTTTGTCATTAATGGAGAAACTAAGGGTAGAGGAATGTGCTTTCACAAAATAAGCTTTGATTATCCAGTGTTGATATAGTAAATCAGCTCTTTACATAAAAAGGACTTGAGGCTGACAGCAATGAAGCCAAGTGTGCATTTCCCCAGCTTATTATTTAGAGGGGGAAGGAGGGAGATAATGCATTCTATTTGTTTCTCATACTTAACTCTTTTTCTTGTAGAACCTGAGAACCTGGTGCACCATATATTAAAGGATATGCATACCACTAAAAAGAAGAAAACAAGAGTCATTCTGCGCATGCTGCCCATTTCTGGAACTTGCAAGGCTTTCATGGAGGATATGAAAAAGTACACGGAAACGTTTTTTGAGCCTTGGTTTAAAGCCCCTAATAAGGGCACTTTTCAGATCGTTTACAAAGCTCGTAATAACAGTCATATGAGTAGGGAAGAAGTAATTAAAGAATTGGCAGGTATGTATGGATTTCACACGAAACAGGACAAGTATATACACAGCCCACAGTTGCATGCACAGCATAGGTTAGACAGTTAAAAGTGATCTTAATGGGCATACCTGTTTGTTGCTGAAAGCCTGTATGTTGAATTATAAAAGCTTCTCTAAGACTTAAAAAAAGCTTGACATCAGTATTTCTTGTTACTGTTGATGTCTTAAGAGACAACAAGCAAAAGAGATCATTGATTATAATTTGCAATGTCGGTTAAATGTGCTTTGAAATAACTGTTCTCAGGCTTTTTCTCTGGCTGCTATATTGAAATAATGTGTTACTATTTCCATTGAATTTTTGACTTATAAAATAGCTTCACCTTACTTGAGCATTTTGTTTCTTGGTAATTGTAGTGGGATAGTTTTTCAGCTACTCCAGTCTTACTGGTGGTGTATTCTGAGTCCTGCTCTGTTCTGCTATTTTAAGCAATTACAAAAATGAGTAATGAGCTAAAACTGAGGAGGATCTTGCCTTCTCGCTCTTAACTTTTGTCCTTTCAATAAGGTGTGCTTATGCTCTGAAACACTTTTCGCAGCATCTTTTAAACTGCATCTTCTTTTACAGGAATTGTGGGCAGCCTCAATCCAGAAAACAAAGTCGATCTTAATAATCCACAATACACAGTTGTGGTAGAAATAATAAAAACCGTCTGTTGCTTGAGTGTGGTGAGAGACTATGTTCTGTTCAGAAAATACAATTTACAGGAGGTGGTGAAGAGCAACAAAGAAGACACACAACAAAACCCATCAAGTTTGACAGAAGAGAACTCAAAGGTAGTAAAACCAGAAACTGAGGAGGAGAAGAGCTCAAAAGAAGTAAAACAAGAGAACAAGAATCAAGGAGAAATAGAAGCCGGGCCCAAGGGGAATGATGCACTTACAGTGTAAAAAATGTGACAGAAGGGAAAAGTAAACATAATCCAAACATATAAAAAAAGTTGCCCTAGAGTTCTGAAAGGGTGTTTTAATGAAGAGAGTGGGTTTTGTTTTGAGATCCTCTTTTTAAAATCCACATGTGTAAGAATTTTGAAGCTCACTGCAGGTGGAACAGATACTACAGCAAATGTAAGGGTGCTCAAGAAGACATCACCTTTCTGGTGAAGCTGGCTGTCCTTCTACAGCTTTGTTCTGCATTTCCTTTACCTGGCACAAAAAACAGGAGTGTGTGCATGTATATGTAACTGTAGCCATCCTGACATGTATGGAGTCTCCTTTGTTACATCTGATGGCTACAGTAACCAAAAGGCAACACAGAACCAGCTCTGTGGTGAGAGATCTGGAAAAGACAGTTGATTGCAGAGGGTTTTGAAGGAAGTGATCTGACAACTGTGTAACTGCAGAACTCAGTAACATTTTTCTGTGTGAACAACAGAATTAGGTAAACCTGATAATTTCCTGTATGATGGAGGGTTTTATACATATATATATATATTTACAGCTCTACAAGGATATGCTGTCTTGAAATGAATGGAAAGAACTGCTGTGATCAAAATACTTGAATATTATGAGACGATTTAGAGTAAGAGATTGAACTGTTCTAGAACAGTAGAAGTACAGTGCAGGCATTGCAGATGGTTTTATCAAAAACTACACGTGTTTACATTAGCTGTGTATGCAGCAGTTACTGGTTTATAGAAAATGCTATAGTCACTGAAGAGAATCCTTTTGACTAATTTGCTGCAAATAGCCTTTTGCTGCTCTTGCCAAAGAATTAATCCTTGAGGGATTTTATAAAGTTTTTTTTGGTTTTATTCTTTTCTTACATCTAAAAATTTGAATTTAACTACAGCTTGGAAACTTCTTCTAAAAGAAGCTCTCCATTTTACTCTGCTACGTAAGGGGAACTAAATTTTATTTTTTGGTACATTTTTGGCTTTACAGTAATAATTTTGTTTCAGGTTGAAAGTAATGTTAGTGAGTCTTTCTGTTGTCTGTTACAACAGCTGTTTGAATATCCCAGTGACTTTTAAAAACCAACCAAAACCAGTGCAGCTATAACTTGCTTTCCAGTAGGGTTTTGAATATGCTTCCTGTACAACTGTCTAGTTTTAGTATTTCATTTCTAGCATAAAAGCCTGTGCATTGCTAATGGGAGAAGACTCATCTTGAAGAACATCACTTGTTACTTGTCTTGGTTTAATGAAAAGGATGTGTTCAAGTCTCTCATAATTTTTATTTTCCTGTTCTCTCAAAATTGTTTTAGAATTTGGAAAATGAAGATGACTTTTTTTCCCTAGTCCTGTCGTCCTTACCACCCATTTATTAAAATTCTGCTTTCTTACCTCCATTGGTGTTTTTTTTATATTTTGAAGATTTTTGTGTGTGGATTAAAACCAGCAATGTGTAGGTCACACAAAGGAAAGAACCATTTGAGACCAGATAGGAAGGCCAGCTGTGAATGTTTATTGGTGGCTGATGTTGGTGATCGATTCATGACAGCCTTTTTATCTTCTAAGGACAAAGACTCAGGGGTAGTTAGTGGTGTATTTTTTGTTTTCTTTCCCTCTCTCTCTCACTGACCTGTGTGCCTTAACAACTTACAGTTTACTTCTGATTTTTCATAATTTGCACTTAGTGGACATCCATTGTTAACACATTAATTCCTAAATCTTGAGGCTTTCAAGATTCGTACAAACAGGCTGCTTAATTTGGATGCATGCAAGATCTGTGGCCATTTCTGGGAACTTCATTCCATACTGTCATGATTTCCTCATTAATAAGCCTCTTGTGAGTTAAAATACCCGGTCTCAAAGAATGAACACACTTGCACTTTCACCTGACAATCACTTACTTGTACTGTAATTCTGTTAGATGGCTGGAAGATGTGTTTGCACATGCCTTGGTTTTTGTTAGGCAAGAACACAAGCATTTAAAAACCAGACAGTTGGAGTGTTTAAACTTTGTGCATTATTGCACAATCACTGCCTAACAGGTGAAATATAATCCTGTGTTGATGTTTACAGTTGTAACAGAAGAGCTCCATTATGAATGACACTGATAGGGGTAGGCTGTTTTAAATTACTTATCAACACTAAATCTGTCCCCACTCCTTCTTCCTCAGTTCATTCCGCCTGATTTTCCCAGTGATTGTCTTTGGCAGCTGCTGGACAAATTCAATCTGATTCAAAAGAGGAAAAAAGTAAAATGAGCATTTATGATTTTTTTTTTTTTTTAAACAGCATAGATCTCCATCCTACTTAAATTTAAACAAGATTTTGGTGACTGGGAAAGTAACTAATTTACTTTTAAATTATGTTATTTTTCAAAATAATCTTTAAAACAATACTTGACATATTCTTGCACAGCACATATTTGGCTTTTTTTTGTTATTGTGTTTTAACTGAGTCTAATATTTCTGTTTCGAAACTTCCCACGGTTAAAATTGGCATTTGGGATTTTTTTTTATTTTTGTTTTTATTATTTGCTTGTGCTTACTTGCCTTTCTGGGGTATTTATATGGAGCAGTGACTTTCTTGACATGCTCTTGCAATTCACAGGCCAGTTTGTTTGGATCCTGTGACTTAAAGGAAGGAGACAAGACCACGAAAGCTTTTACCACCTACAAAGGGAAAATAACTTAAAAATACAGCATTAATTCAACTAGAGCAACCTAAGAAATGAAGCAATTAATTGAGAATTAGGGGGCCCTTTATGAATAGATGAGTGAGCACTAATTACCTCCCCTCTGATGGGATCTGGGCTGCTTACAACAGCTGCCTCAGCCACAGCTGGGTGCTCTGTCAGGGCGCTCTCCACTTCAAATGGCCCAATGCGATACCTGGGGGAGACACAGTAGATGTTTAATACGTGGCAGGTATAGAGTTATTTCCAGACACTTCTTGGCATTTTAACTGAAATCTACAAACCCAGAGGAGATGATGACATCATCAGATCTACCCATAAACCATATGTATCCATCCTCATCCATGCTCCCTCTGTCTCCAGTGATATAGAAGTTCCCACGGATTGTGGAAGCTGTTTTCACTGGATCGCCCTGTTGAACAAGCAACAATAACATGTTCTAAATATTGTGAAACCTTAAGCTTAGAGATGAGTTTTGCCTTTTTGGACACTACTCATAGTGTCTTTCACTGCTTGTTTTCTCTCTCAAGAATGTAAGAGCTTGTGCTTCCTTCTTTCAGAGGGGAAAGCTTATCACAGGGGCAGACAGAGAACTAAAGATCACACAGAAGGTCTGCAAAGAACGGGGGAGAGAATGGAAGTTTCATAAGAACTTTGTCAAGTCAAGACGAGCAACAGCTCTGTGGTGTTGCAGCTGCTCCTGTTGGTATAAGTACATACCACGCTGCAGACCTAAGGGGGCTTCCAAAAATTTGCTTTTGACTTACCACATATCGAGTGAAAAAAGTAAATGGCCGCTTTGCATCCACTTTGATAGCAATGTCTCCTTCTTCCCCAGGAGGCAGAACACTGCCATTCCCATCTATAATCTGCAATAGGAAAGGCAAATGGGTGATTAGAACTTCCCATTTTGAGAGAGCCATGTTCTGAAACTTACCAGCAACCAACAGCTCAACCAAAAAAAGTCAGCCTGCCCTGAATTACCACTGTATGATATGGAAACTTGGGCAGCAAGTGTGTTTTACTTCTGTGAAATCAACAACAAACAGAAAAGGGAACCCATACCTGAACATTGTAGGGGGGAGCTGCCTTCCCCAAGGAACCTGGCTTAATTTTCATTCCTTTCATATTTACACATATGACTCCCTGTTGGAAAAGACAAACAACCAGCCCAGGTAATTCACTGTCATCCCTGAGCAGTCACATCCCTGTTCCTATTCATGTTCTACTGTTGAGTGAGCACAAGATCTAAATCTTCCATCTGTGCAAGCCAGAACATTTGTGAACTTCACCAAGAGTCTTGGACAGATAGCTCAAGATATTTTACAGCGTGAGTAGTCTTTAGAAGCAGTATCATGACCAAGCCATTATTCCAAGCAAAACAATAAACCTCGTAGCAATGCCACAGATTTTAAGTCTTTTAGTCAAATATATGTATGGCCAAGTTCCCTATTTACCAAGAGGAGTGAGATATCCCCTGAGTGACAGCCAAGTTGTAACCTTTTACAAAACATCTGAACATACAATTTCGGTTTGGCCATAGCCTTCATAGATGGTCAGTCCTGTTTGGCGTTTCCACTGTGCCATCACTTCTGGGTTCAGTGGTTCCCCTGCAGTCAGACAGTGCCTCAGCGTCTTGAATGCATACCTTCACAGACAGAGGACATTGCTGAGAAGCAGAGGACAGAAAGGGACAAATTCTGCTCTCCCTGACATCTGTATGGCCAACCCCATGACTTCTGGACACACCAAACTCTCATTTTAAGAGGTGAGGTTAGGGTTGAGAGAAAGCCTAGAGTGCCTGTTGGAGTGGGCCTGGAAGGTGGGTTGCCAAAGGTGAGCTGCAAAGATGCACAGGACTGATGGCAGTGCAGCCACACAAGTACTTGCAAGGGCTGACTTCTGTATTTGCTGTCGGTAACATCTCGGGGCAGTTGGAAGTGCCCAAGGGGTGGATTTCCTCACTTCTCTCTGCTGTGCTAAGGCAAAGACTCTGCCTTCTCACAGCCCCTGCCTATAACACAGAATCTTCACCACTCTGAGAGTTTAAGTGGCTATGAGGGCCATCAAAATCAACTGTTCAAGAGCCAGGCAAAAGTTTGAACAGACACGTGGTACCTGCTGAGGTCGTGCTGTACCAGCATGCGGTAGACGGTTGGGGCACTGCACAGAGTGGTCACTGGGTATCTGCACAAGGTCTGCCAAATTAAAGAACAAAGGAACAGAAAGAGAGTTAAACAATATTGTTTAGGGGGAAAAAATTGCTGCTAGCTATTCTACTCTGTACTAGGGCACAAATTGTAAGACATGATTAAAGTCTCACTTACATGAAAAGCAAAATAATTGCTGTCACTGTCAGTGTTGAGGAGGGATGTTACAGTGCCCAAACACCAGCTGAAGAGGTGATACACTGGCTGTGGAATCACTGGTGTACCTAATTTGTCCTAATGCTGACTTGAAGCATGAGCACTATCCCTTGGTGTGAAACCTTGGCAATGAAGGTGTACCCTTACCCTTGTGCTAGATTAAAACTCAGATTGGCTTAAGAAGCTTGAAAATAATTTCCTTTAAGAACAAGCCATTCTCACAGCTTCGGTGTTTTCCAGTACTGACTTGTCTTTCTTCAGGGTCACAGCTGTGTAATTAAAATATTAATTTACATGTAATTCAGCTCATTTATCATTTCAGTAGTGAAATACAGTAGGAGAGAGGTCTAACTAACACCAATAACTCCTACTGATTGGAAGCTGCTGATAATATCCTGTGCCCAAAAGAATCATGCTGCAAAAATCCTTCCTGTATTATATTCCTATTCAAAGAACAATCACCCTGTGGTTATGCCATCTTAAAACAGCTAATCCCATAAACCTAAGAGGCTTAGTTTTGTGGTCTGCCTGGAAAACAACTTGAAATATGAGTAACTGTTCATTGTGAGCATGGTGTTCTTACATTTAAGATTCCTCTTGGATCAAACTGTGGCATGGCATGTACAAAAACACACGTGCCCTGGGACCATGGACCAAAAATGCTCCCAGCAGCTCCCTTTACCCAAGCAGTGTCTGACATGTTCCACATGATGTCTGAGGGAGTCAGATTCATCCAGTACCTGTTGAAGACAAAGGTGGCCAATATAAGGAAGTCCGCAAGTGGAAATTAAAAATGTGAGGGTTTGTTGTTTGGTGATTTTATTTTTTCTTTAGAAAAGCATGGTAAATTTGATCTGACACTCAAGAGCTCAAATAAATGCCTTTTGCCTAACCTTTATACTGACAGCAGAGATAAAGAAAATCAAATGGTATCCCAACTCATTATTTAATCTGGATAAACAGGCAAGTAGTTTCTAAAACAGAGCCATATATTGTATTGAACAAGATCCTTGTCTTATGCATACAATTCAGCTGAGGAGACCAAAAGAAATGGCACATACAAGATTGTGGGAGCCTCATAATCTATCATAATTGTACCACATACAAAAGTTCTTCTGTTTGCTTCACATTTCAGTGTTGTAAAGGCATAATTAGATGAATACTTTACCTTCCACAGACGAAAAAACCCAGACCGAAGCTTCCATAGGAATGTTCAACCATTTTGGGAGAGCCTGTGGTGCCACTGGTAAAATAAATTACCATTGGATCCTGACTTTTAGTCTTCACGCAGCTATGGACAGCAGGGGCAGCCCTTAAATAAAAAAGAAAGGTTATGTGAAACAGTGGATGATGTTATTCAGCATCCTTAGCTTGGATCCCTTGTGCCCAATATATGCAGGACTGTATAGTGAACTATAAGGTATAAGAAGTTAGATCCCCTTGCTCTTGCACTGCTAGTTCTATATTAAAGGGCTGCTGATTTTGCTCTCTAACTATATTTCATGTTCATCTTCTGAGTAAAAATGCCAACTGGCTCTCTTCTATTTGGCTTCCTTAACAACGACCAAAATACCCAGTGTCTTGTGTTTGACTCAAGTCCCCCCACTAAAGCATATCTCCAGTCTCAACGGGTTTAGCTGAGGGAGGACCCATCATTTACGTTGGTTGGCGGACCCAGTAGTTAATTATCTTTGCCATGTTTGAGAAGTGTGGGGAAGCTCAAACTCTTGGTTGTCTGGCACATGACAGGGATATATTGCTCACCTCTTACTAGGATGAGAAAGCAAAACTGTTTTGTTTTCTCTGCCAGACTGATATTTGAAAAGGTTTTGCTTGACATGCAAACATTGCCCATTCCTGCAAGGTTATGTGTGGGAAGTCTGCCTCCCCAGGCCAGCCATGTGCTGGTGCTGGCTGACAGGCAGAGATGCTGCCCAGGCGCTCCCACTCCAGAGCTCCACAGCCTCTGGCTAGCTCAGCAGTCAGCAAAGGCACCTGAGGACATGGGGAGCTGGAAGTCAGGGCAATCAGCCAGGCAGACAGACTGACAGTGGTCTGGGGAGACCACGAGCCAGGCAGGATGGCAGGACAGAACTCTGGGAAGACTGGGAGCCTGACAGCTGAGCAGCCCTGGAGCCAGCCAGCACTTTGAAGGCAGCCTGTGGGGAACCCTGCCAGCCCACCTGCCTGACCGCCAGCGACAGCCTCAGCAGGGCTGACACAGCTCCAGACCAGACGGAGGTTTTATCAAACCCGCTTTACCCTCTGCCATGGATCTGAGCCATGCAATATTAGCCCAGCATGAAAGAAGATTCATCAAACTGACAATGTTTTGGTAGCTCTGGGAGGTTTGAGAATGCAGTGTTACTGCTTCCTCTGCCTTCCACTTTGGTAACACTGAAGTAGGCAATTGACTGAAGGAGCAGGTGGAAATACAGTGGGACTGTACAGTGGTCTGCACAGATGATGCTTATTCAGACACCTGTGGTTGTGAGAACATGTGGTACATCTTATAAAGCTCTTAAAGAGACTGGAGAGCTTGGATCCCACCTTGAAAGAACAGTTTTAGCTACACAGATGCTTTAACAAAGTATCAGCTGGTAAAATCACACTGAGGGGCCTTGAGGAGATTGTGGCAGGCTGTTTGCTTCCCTGCCCCACTCTGCCCCTCCACCCCTTTCACAGTCCCACACACTGCAGTGAAGAGCTGTCTGTTGGGTGCCATTTCAGTAGCTGCTTTTCAGCAGTCACAGAATCACAGAATATTCTGAGTTGGAAGGAACTCACATGGATCACTGAATCCAACTGCTAAGCAGTGAAGCAGGTGGATTCCTACAGACATCAGGTTCATTTTACAGTGCCCTTTTAGATGGTAAATAGGCCACAGCTATCAATAAGAGGCGTTCCTGTCCACTTTTCTGTATTGTTTCATAATCTTATATAACAAACTTAGAAATCATAAGACTACTTATTTTTTAATTAGAAGTTTAGCTACTCTCAAATATTCCTTTTCTATATATGAAAGAGACTAAATTGCCTTCTTTTCTACCTCCTCAAAACTTTCTAGTTCATTAATGAGATACAAGTGCACAGGAATGTTTAAACAACACGAGAAATTTTGCAGTAGAGGTAGCTATAACAGAGTTAAGGTAGAAGGCACTTACTTGAGCAAATCACTAAATTTCAGCCACTCAGCCCTGCTGCTTTCAGATACAATTAGCTTTGTTTTCAGAAACTGGCACTTAGATGCAACTGAGTCCACTGCAGGAGCAAGAGCATCAGTTGTAATAATGCACTTGGCCTTTGAAGCCAGCAGTCGATAGCAAATGTCTTGTGCTGTCAGTTGTGTTGTCCCTGGGATGATGATAACACCTGAAAGTGCAATAAAATTGGAAATTCACTAAATATTTTTCCCTTTTAGTCCTTGTCACTTTACAGCTTCTCCTGATTTGTTGAATACCAGCATTATTCAATCCAGAAATGAGAAAGTGTTAAAACAGGTTCCACACACAGATATGAGTACAATATAGCTTCTGTTTCTATGAGGTTCTTTACTACAGGCACAATGAAAGTAGAAAATATTAACTTTGGGGCAATAAACACTGTCTGATGTAAACACTATTCAACAGCTTTAACTGAAGTCTGTTGAAGCTAAACTGATTTAACTCAACCAAATTGATTTAACTCAACAACTGCCGTGGAAGGTGAAAGAAAAATGATGAAGGTAATTCCATCAGTCATAGGAGACTTCCCCAGTCACCCCTTTGATTGTCAAATGTACAAGCGAGGAAGTCAAATAAGGAATCCAATTATTAAATGAGTTGTTAATCAACTTTTGACACAGAAGGTAACAATCAATCTACAGACCATTAGGAATGATACAATTCACCTGTTCGCATACAAGCCACGTTCAGCAGCCACCACTCTGGGATTCGGGGTAGAATCACTAAAACCCGGTCTCCCCTTTGCAGACTGCAGGGTCCAGAGAGCACATTGGCCACTTTTTGGGACAGGAAGCCCAGCTCTCCAAAGCTCCATTTAATTTCATCTCCTTTTCCATTTATCCACCACAGAGCTGGGTTTGATGGTCCCTTTTGTTCCTACACACAATGCAAGGGCAAATAACATTCTGGTTACTTCTGAGTCTCCTGTAGTTCCTTACAGAAGTTTTGGGATGCTCCAATCAGTGGAATCTGATAGTACTACGTATTCTAGGGCAGGGATATTAAGCACATTTTGGTTAAAAGAGCCCTTTTTCAAGGTGTGTATATCTACTTGGTTTGCAATTCTCATAAATTACTTAGAGGCTTTCACAAACCTGGCACTGCTGAATTAGAATCACAGAGACAAAGCACCAGGTCCCCTCTGGTGCAAAAGCAAATTGCCTCTCCTTTCTCTGCAATGTAAGATCATGTTAGAACAGAAATCAAGGAGGAAATTCTGGTCCCACTGAAGCCAGTGATGGTTTTAGACTTGGCTTTGGGGACTGGAGCACAGTTTCACTAAAAATACTGAATCTACAGGGTCAGAAGCGCTACCTTTTCTATTTGAGACCACTTGTCCAGCACATCACTTGCAAAATTGAAGTACTCAGGTACTTGCTTTTCACAGCGACCGATAGCTTCATAGTCTGAGAAATTCAAAGGTGCAAAAGTCTTGTGATACTGGTGGAATAACCTCCGGAGTGTCTGGATGTTCTGTGGGGACCGCAACGCTTGAAATTCAAGTAAAATCTTCATGGCACAAAAGCAGATATACAGGGGTTTTGAAGAAACCCCTTTCTTTGCAGAAAGAAGCTGCTTCAGTGTTCTTGATAAAAAACAACGGAGTATAATTGCTCTCTGGTACTTCACCCTTCTTCATAAAAGCGAGAATCTTGTGAAGAAAAAGGAATAAAACACAGCATTATAGTTTGGTTGGTTGTTGGTTTTTTTTTTACATTAGCAGATGGCATCTGCTAATTTTTCGGGAAACTAAGTATTTGAGCAACTACTAAGTAAAAACTTATTTATCAGTGTGTTTAAATAAGTTGTGCTTACCTGGAGAGGTTACTTGTGATCAGGCGAGATTTCTTACAACTCCTCCTCATGTACCTTGCCTAGTACTTAATTGGCAAGTATTCCCTCCTCCTGGCTCCCTCCAATTCTGTGAGCAATTGTAGCTCCTCATTAGTATCACACATCACATTCCATAGTGGGGATTACTTCCCCCAAGAGCACAGATTTCATTTCTGCAGTTAGCTTCCAAAAGAAAGGCACAATTGCTGAGAAAGTTTAGAGCAGATGGAAAGAGCACTGAGTATGAGTGACTGCATTTCTGGTTCACTGCCTTTGGAGAATGGATAATCCACCATAAATTAATATATAACTCTATTCTGTGGCATCAGTGACTTTGGAAATGGTAACAGTGGGGCTTTATTTTCAGATTCCAGACTTAAACATAGTATGAGAATTGGTATGATATGAAGACTTGAAGATTTTCATAAGCCTGGTGCCAATAAACATCACCTATAATGTCTGACGGACACTTTTATGGAGCAAGTATGTGCAGTTCAGACATGGGCCATCAGGTCTGTGGAGGACAGTAAGAACTCAAACTACAAAGTCATTGCTATGAAACTGGGTGACAAAGGGATGAAACAAAAAATCCATGCTCTGGAAGGCAGCATGGTTTAATGGTGGATTTGGCAGTGTTGAAAGGTCTTTTCCAACCAAAATGGTTCTGTGATTCTATATAGAGGCAATAAAGAGTATAATTAAGAATCAGAGTTAGGAAACAGTCAGAGATGCTGCTAGAAACAGCAAGCACAGATAGCAGTGGTGGAAGTAATGGACGATGGAGAGGCAGAACTAGGCTGTTAGAACCCACGTGTGGAATCTCTGCAGGCATCAGTGCATGACCAATGTTTCAGGAAAGCTGCTGAATTACAGTGTGTTAGTATCTGAAAGTTTTCAAATCACTTTTGCAAATGGAATGTAAGCTCTGAAATTACTCAGAACTAAGCTGTCCAACCTGGCATCTGTTGTACATTAAAGTACAACCTCTCTTTCCCTGTCTTCTGTGTCTCTCTGGCCTGTCACCTTCTTTCAGGCAGCTTCAAATTTTACAATTCCCTAGAAAAAATGTAATACTTTCAGCATGCAAATACCCCCTACAGTGGGGTTTATTTTTTGTTTGAGGTCTAATTCTGCTCCTAAAGAAATAAATTCTCAACTATTCTCTGGTTTCAGTAGTGCAAGCTTAGACACATTTAGATTAATGTAATCTACACAGACACAGCATTTTGTGCATTTGTTTTCTCTCTGTTTTTGACCTCAGACAATAATGTGCTTTGTAGCTGGAAAGCAAAGAAATATCCATTTCAGAGCTTAAGGGGGTGAAAGAGGTGAGATCCACCTGCAGAACCCTCCTGGCACAGCCTCTCCTGGGACTTGTGTTTGTTAGCCAGTTAATTGTTGTCCTGAAAGGTCATCAACAGCTTTACCACAGAGCACATTTGCTGTTTTCCCAGGCTCTGGTAAAACAGCAGGTGTGTTTATGGGTAGTACACAGTGGGTTTACAGCAGAACCAGGAAAACTGAAGATAAATGACCCTGTGCCCTTTTTTTGGTTCACTGGTGTTTTTGTGCTCCTAGTAAACACAGCCTTGGTCAGAGAGTTCAACTACTACTTATATCTTCTGAATCAAGTGCTGTAGCAGTACTGTGTGAAGTGCAAGTGCTACAGAGAGGTAACAAGAAATGTGAGATGTGCCCTAACAGGGATGATCTAAACCTCTGCTGCACCCATACCCACGTAACTGCTTGACTGTTATGGAAATATCTCACAGTCTGAACTGACTACTCAGTCCAGGAAATCCTTGATTATATTTAATCCTGAAACTACACAACATAGAGATAGAAGTCTGATCATCAACAACAGTTAAAAAACATTCTCACAAAATAATATTACTCACATATTCAAATTTTATAATTTCCTTTAAAAAAA